GATGTTCCTCGCAGAAATGTATCTATTTGTGGCTGAGCATGAATAGGAGAATAGCAGTTTCTCCGCTTCCATGACGATGAATAACATCCATGGTTCAGAATGCCATATACAGTGGAAATACAAGGACATTGGCAGTGGGCCATGCCCAGTTTCAGCTATAGCGCCCCAGATTATGAAGTCCGATCCTTGGACTTTGCTCTTGACGTGGTATTCCAAGCACCTGATCTGCAAAATCTAACGAGATTGGACAGAATAATACGAGTTAAAGTGCCGATCAGCCCGTATTCAACGACAACAGTTAACATGATGTTGTCACCATTCTGATATCATTGATTGAGTCCTTTTGTATGAAGTGACAATTGAGTTTTTGACGTTGCTTCAATTCGAATGGAACAATACTGCTAAAATAGGTGCTAACTAAGGTGTTGTTGATCCGGTAACAAGTGCCGTGGCTGGTGGATATAATTGTAGTTTTGCTAGGATAGCCTCGCTATACTGAAGCGTAATCAAGATAATCAAACCTAATTATGCCTTGTTCAAGAATAGCTCTCATAACGTTTAGAGCTTACTGTCTACTTGAACTATCGTCAACCAATTCTAATCTCAGGATACAGCCTTCACCACAATAACATCTCCGTAGCTGTACATAATTCAATTCCCCTCCAATTCTATACCAACCCTGCCCCAACAATGCCAGCATACGGGACTATCATAGCCACATCCCGAGGCAACATTGAGAGGCAGCCTGCAGCCTCTCCTTCTCTCGTATAGTGTCGATCCAACACAAGTAAACTTCGCTTCGTGAGATCATTGTCGAGCCAAACTCTTGGCCGAGTTTTCATTCTTGCTTTCATGATGAGGATGATCTACGCTCAGGCGGTGGCAAAGACTTACACCCAAAGCGCGCCAATCGTGGGGTAGACCACGATGCACACGATTTCTTCAAAAAGGCACGTTACATCTCTTGGCATTGGAGATCAATATCACAGTCGATCATTGAGGCTTTGGAATGGCAGAACGTGCCTTACTCGGGATAGGTTCTGGGCAATGCAAAGGAGCTCATGACAACGAGAGTCGTTTTGCCGCCGCTGCACTCGTTAGACAAACGCCACTGAAGATTGAATCACATCTTGTTGAGTATATTCGATGCTGAGCCTTTTACTACCAGAGACCTTTGATTGTGGAGAGTGCCGCTGAGTATGAGATTGACGGTTTGGTTGCACCCGGAACATCCAGCATCAAGAACATATGTCTAAGCCACGCCGAGGTCTCCGGATCGACATTGTGCATAAGCATCAGGGCCCCCAAAGCTCCTGAAATGCTCAACATGCCTATTGGAGGGCTGCGACAGAATTTCGGGACGGTACAGTACGAGGTCCCAAGAGCTTGGGAAGAATTATTCTTCAGCACAAACACTTTGACAGTGTTTGAGCTCGACATGTCAGATTTTGATTCATAGAAGGCAAAATGAGAGAACGATCTGATGGAGGATCTGGAGCAAGTAACTGGCGAACAATACCAGCTTGAGAAGAAGTTAAATAACATCCCCTCTATATGAATATTTCAAAGGAAAGAGTTACAAACTCGATTGTCACATTGAAGAGCTTTACAGTAAAGATAAACAAGGTAAATCTATGTAGTGAACAGGACAATCTCGGGCGTTGCTAAGATTTACAGAGGCTATGAATTGAAACTCAAAGACGAGCCCTGGCCACGGCCAGAGCGGAAGCGTGAGTAGATCTATATATATAGGAAACCAAGAGCAATATTTGAGTTTCAATTAACAGCCAGTGTGTAGATAGGCTACCTCACTAACACGGTATTTCTTGTGCAGCAAGGATATCCTAATTACACTTGGCAATAATCTAATTTTCAGAAAATCATGAAAGCAATTTACGTATGAGGTGAAATGAGGTTGACATAGACTATATCGCAAGATAGTGGCAGTCTAACTGAATAAGGTATATGCGTAAGCACACTCCATAGATTTCTTATCTCACTCAGCTACAATTAAACTTCTCAACCTCGACTATCCCTATACTACTGTATCAAGGTTCCTGATTGGATCCTCAAATCTATCTCTGAAAGCAATACCTGCATTTCACCACATCCAAACATGACAACATTCTCATCTGTTCCCCCATACATTCTCGGCGGCGCTTGTGTCAGCCGTGGGATAATGGCTCTCCTCTCACCACGAAAAGAGTACGGCCACGTCGGTCTTCCTCTCGAATCTAGCAAAATCAACACGGAAGGTAGCTCTGTTTCACCTCTGATGTACTTCAAGGGTCTTCGTGAGATATCATATGGGCTTACGTTGATGGCGTTCCAATATCAAGGCAATGAGAGCGCCGTGACAACGTTTTCGGCGATTTTGTCGATCGTGAGACTTGGTGATGGATTGGTTGTCTGGATGAACGGTGGTGATGAGCTGAGATATAAAGCTTCTGGCCATTGGATTACAGGACTGGGGTTTGCTGGATGGGTGATTTGGAGATGGAGTTACTAGAGTGCCAAAGGTGGATGAGAAGCTGCACCAGCCAGCAAGCATAGACATATGTTGATTCAGATGGTCAGAAGGGCTGCAAAATTTCTAAACACGGCTCAGTTCAGCGCTTTTCTGGATATAAATTAGTGTCTATGGTGTCTCATATGCATTCTTCCCGAAGTTGTGGACACTCGCTAAATCCTTCTGCAGAAGACGTGCTACGACTATCGAAAGCATTCATTTGGAGTCTCTAAAGCTATTTGATCTCCATATTTAGACTGTCTTTAGCTTTGCCTCTTATCATAGCTGTGGGTTAAGAAATACCCCCAAAACTTGAACTGGTGGGGCAGGGACATCACCAACTCGAGATCAACTGGTACCTGGCTGCATACCTTTGACGGACCAAGACTTGATATTTCTGGACAGATCAATATTTTAGCTGTGGTAAAGTTAGGTCGTGTTTCATGAGGCTTGTGGTCTCAATATGGATCGACGACAAACGCTCGAGGAGCTCAGAAACGGAAGACCAGATAGATGAGTTACAAAGTACGGGTATCAAAAAAATGCAGAATGGACTTAGGATGCAGCCTCTAATACCCTTACACATGTATGGGATCATTTACGATACTTTATCTCGATCGTAAATGTCATTCTCGAACCTTTGATGGTCTAATACTCAACCTCCAGGTAGCAGTGACTTGACTTACATGCAGCCAGACTGACACTTCCTCATGATACCAGCACCATTATCTCCAGGCTTACTTCCCTGTGTAACTTAAGAACTCAATTGAGATTTTATACGTAAGGTCTTTTATTTCGTAATGTTTGAGACGCGGTCGCTGTGAATGAGGTTGACGCCGCTGTAGGTCGCACGACAGGGTGCCTCATGGATTGACAGTCATGCTACAGCAGATCGTTCGGTGTCCATTGGTGTGCAGAAAACATTACCTATGTATAAACAAGGACCGGGAAAACTTCGTTTTCGTATGTGAGCTCACCGCAGCAAGGAAAGAGAATATCCCTGCTTCGATCTTCACCGGTCGCATTATGATGCGATGTCAACAGGAGGTCTGGATCAAAAGACGCAAACGAGCCTATCCTCCAGTCATTCCCTACCAAGAGAGCAACACTCGATAGCTTTTATCGTCCATATAGTCTCACCTTATGGTCGCGCGATAAGTAACCTTCGACCATCAGTGCAAAGTTCCCACATCCTGTGTAAATGACGCACTCAATCATTGCTAAAGCCAGAATGTACCAGTCTATTTATGACCTTTTTTGTTTTCCAGAATACATTTAAACCAGTCATGATCTGATTCATGTCTCTCCGCTTTGAATTGTGTTCCGCTCCCTGTTCATTGGTATCACAAAACCCTACTCCGATCCCCAACACCAAACCACATTTTACTCAGTGCTCAAGTTCCACAGTCCATCGCCCAAGTAATGCGCGTCTTCGATCACGGGTCCCTTACCCTTGGCCTTGACCTCCTTGGTTCCCACGACGAGTGTTCCCACTGCGCAAGCCTCCTCCTTGCCCTCAGCTATGACAACCACAGGCTCACCCTTGACAAGCTCTCTGCTCCATCGGCCCTCCTCGTCCATCTTCTGATCCATCTCCTTGCCCTCTTGTAGACCCTCGGGGGCGCCATCAGCAGGCAGTCTGCCTCCTGGGGAAGTCAAGCCAGGGGCCATGAGGGTAGCACCTGAGAGGACGAAGCGAATAGCACCACGGTCTATGCGAATGCTGGGGAACGCTTGAGGGAAGCGGTGTACGAGACGAAGGTGAGGAACGAGGATGCCAGTGAGATCCTGTTGGTAGAAGAGAGGTGTCGAGTCAAGAACGTAGAGGGTGTTGCGGTCGGTCAGCTTCATGCTTGACAGGGACGCCTTCTTGGGCAGAATCTCGTCGATGTAGGGGTTGAGAAGAGGGTATGTGTCGAGAAGGCCCTGGCGAAGGGAGCGCTGGACGGAAGATTTGAGCTTTTGCTTCGGTGAGCCCTGGATTCTGGACATGGTTAGATGAGAGCTTTGAGAGGTTTCATGGTGGGGGAATGTACTCTTTCTTGAACATTGTGGTGGATTAACGGCAGTGCCGAAATGATTGTAACAATAGAGTTGAGCTATGTGGTATATAGAACAAATAAACAGAAAATGGATGTTAGAGAAGCTGGGCTTGTCGTGTCGAGTCGTGTCGTATCGTGTCTTGGTGGGGTGCTTTTGGTATGGAAAAGTCAAGTCGACAAGTGCCCCGCGGCATCAGGTGGCGGGGTAAATCTCGAGATGCAATAACAGAGGCACAGCACCAAAGTCTCCAAAATAATTAAATACCATCACAGAACACGCGATCACAATTAATAGACACAGCGGACATGTTACAAGGGAAATTCATGATCCTGTTATTCTCTTGCGCCTTCGCCATTGCAGGCGAATCCTGTTCCCATCATTATCGTACATAAACAATGCCCTTCCCCTCCTTTTGGTGGAGGGGTCAAGTCAACCAAGCACCGCTAGATCAGCCCTTGACGACATGTGAAACAGTTCCGTCATCCTTGAGGTGAACGTTGAGTCTGTCCTCCTTGAAGTCCTTTGTGACCATCATTCCGGGCTCGATGATGCGTGTCTCCTGGGGGAGGTCTCGCTTAGCAAAGACCTGTTCGTCAACGTTAGCAGCGTGTTTATACGGTGTAAGGAGGTTTCATGGACGGCATACAGTCTCGGTCGATGTCTCTTCGTCGGAGAGCTTCTTGCCGACAAGCTTGTTCTGCCACTCCTCGGCCTTGTCGCCGGATGTTGAGTTGATACCAGGAACGACAAGAGGCATGATGGGCGTTTTATTTGTTTTACGTGAGAGTAGATGGTTCGATGAGTGTAGTCAAGTGTACGGTGTTAAAGAGAAAAGATCAAAGAGTCGGTTGCTTCCTTTTATACATAAAGCTTGCGTGCAATCACTGCATTACATACGAGGCAAAAGCAGGAAGCTCACGCCAAAGTTGATGACGTAGACTCACATGGCTAATCCTCAGATTCAGCTCGATTGGCTACGCGTCGGTTACTCAAGGGACAAAACATGACGTGAGTGCGTGTGCAAGAGGGGAAACGTTTGAAATCGATCAAGATCTCGGGTATTTTTTTTTGTTAATTATTTGCTGGAGAAATGATTGACAAGTGATGTGTCTTGGCATTAACTAGAATTATGCTTTTCTGTCTATCTCAGGCACTGACCACTACGAGGTGCTGCTCAGCATTTTCAGCCCCTGAATATCACCTGTATCTTTAGCGAACGGTGGTTGATTCGGTACATCCCGATGAGATAAAGCGATCAAGGCGGAAAATATCAGGATCTTCTGTTTGCAGGCACAAGGTTTGTTGGGATCTATATGATCAGATCCTCGAATTGCCTGCGACAAGATCAAATCCATGTTGAGTCAACTCATAAGATATACGCTTTTCAGCGTTGGTCTCTGAAGCCTCAGCTCATGACGATATCCAACCAATAGGTGATTGTTCAACTTGGGATAGCCTCAGAGTGTTTGTAAGATGATGGACAGTCATGGGAAATTCCTTCCTTTTCCTCTCTCCCGCCAACAACTTGATCATCTGGTAATGCGATGCAGGTCTCGATGGCGTCGGGATGCGCGACAGGGTCCATCTCAGCTGCATAACGCCTGTGGACGCATGTAAGCAGAGGCAGAGGCAGAGTAAGCTCAGGGTATTGACCGCCTATACAACATTCTTTCTCATTCTGTCTAGAGATTTATCTCTACAATCTGTAATCCATATTGTGTTAATCATGATACCAACTATTTCTCAACAAACACATGGCAATTGCAACAAATAAAGTCAATCGGGATGCTCTCCTCGATGCTTCACCCCACAACCGTCGTCGCACCAGATGTAAAACTTGGCGTCGATTGGTCGCTGCACCGCCATCCTTGCCAGCTACTAGTAGCTGTGCTGTTATCCGCTCTTTCAGCCACTTCAATCAGCGCTTGCGGGAAGACATGGCAAGGCTTGGGCTTACGTAGGTGGGTGGTTTGCGCAAGGAGAGCCCGAGAGTCAAGTTTTATCATAATTGAACGACAGTGACAACTTCTTGCGACACTCCGTAGATTCTTGCTGTAGAAAACATAGTTCTCGTAGCAATGTATGTAAACATGTCTCGCTTCTCTTTGTTGATGTTTGTCTTTGTCTTGAATCCAGCTCAGCCCAGCTCCAGTGCCGGTTAGCGGGTTTAGCTAATAAGTTTCCACCCGTGATCCTGCATCATCAGCAAAGTATCAAGCATCAGCCGTCATCATGGGCATGCATTGGCGTGGATATTGATGATATTCGTCCTCGATGAACTCGACGGCAACGTACATAGAGACAATACCACCCCAAGAAGTTAGCAATATCACCAGTTCTGCACCCAAAACTTAACAAACACTCACAGCCCTAACATCTGCAAAACAAAGAACAAGGCATGGACCCTCAATCTCTTCTCATGTCCTATCCCCTTTCAGGTATAGTCAATTGTGGCTCAAGGCCTCTCACCCCCGTCTAGAAAGGATCCGTCTCCTCATCTCCCCTTTTTTTAGCACAAGCAACGCTCTAAAGATCCCCATAATAATATAAGAGCCTGTAACATGGACTTGTTGCTGCCAGCTTTGCCAGTGACCAGTAAGCAGTAGCACTGCCAGCCAGCCCAAAGGCCGCCGCCTCATATCCCCTGCCTCTCTCTCACTGCCTCTGCCTCTTATTTTTTTGCTCTCCATTTCCAAGGACCCTCCCTCTCCCAGAGAAACCAAGGTTCAGCCCAAAAAGAAACGGACGGATAATCCCTTCCATTTCCCATCCCATTCGCTTCGTTTCGCTTGCTCCCTCTCCTTGTTTCTTCCTCTTTTTTCCCTTCCCTATCATTCCCCGTCAAAACCACCAAACAAAACCCACCCTCCCCCCAAATTCATCCTCTCTCCCCTTTTTGGATTGAGCGTGTCTTGGTTTCAGGCGCCCAATTCGTATTCGACAACAGAAATTAATGAGCTTGCTGGGCATCCTCTCGATCGAAACCTAATCTCCAAAACACAAAATAACGAAAAAAAACCGTTGAACCCGTTCATCATGCGCTTCTCAACCGCCATTCTCTTCGCAGGCAACGCCCTTGCCGCTGTCCAGCAAGAGTGTCTCGCCAACCACCACGAGGACCTCGCTGCCTTTGCTGACTGTGCCAACAAGGGCGCTCTCTCGTACTGCCTCGCCAACCTCAAGGAGACCGACGAGGCCGCCCTCAAGAACTGCTACACCTCTGCCGGCTGCTCCTCCGACGCCGCCGCCAAGGAGGCTCACTACACCTTCGAGCGATGCTCCGAGATCGCCAAAGCCGGCGAGCTCAAGAAGCGCTACGAAGCCGCTCCCATGCCCGCAATCATCCCCCGCGTCGAAGCCGCTGCTGCCATTACCGACGGCCCCAAGGCCACTGGTGAGCTCAAGAAGCGTGCCGCCGATACCTCGAGAGGAACCGACTGCTACACCACCTTCAAGAAGAGCACCGAGCAGTGCGACCTCGAGACCGTCTCGGATAAGACCAAGACCGCCACTTGCTACAGCACTGAGATCAGCACCAGCTCGTGCCGCGACGAGGTCATCTGCACAACCGATTCTTCCGCCGATGACATCTGCATGACCAAGAAGGAGATGGACACCGCTGGCATCATCATCGCCATCGTCTTCGCTGCTTCAGCCGCTCTTATGCTCGGCTACCTCACCTTCATGTGCTGCCGCGACCGCAAGGAGCAGAAGCGTCTTGTCGCCAAGTCTGAAGCCGTCGCCCTGGCCCGTGCCGCCACAAAGAAGCAGCGCGCTGCTCAGCGCCAGCCCCTCATCCGTAACGCCTCGGGCCAATCCGCCCCCGGCGCCGCCGGCAACCCCTTCCAGGACCGAATCTAGGCGGATCGGTCTCTTCGAGGGAGGGCTACGGGAACGAGGCAGCTTCACCGAGTCTCCGAAGAGTATTCGTTTCAAAATTGAGCTCTTCGGCTCGCCATGGAGCTGCCTCTTTCCAAGCACTCGCCATATCTTTATAATGCCTGTGTGAATGCCAGCTTGGGGGAAATATCCAAGGCTTGGAAATCTTCGAAGCCAAGGATGAAGTGTTTTTCGATACCTTGATATCAGGCCCGGAGGGGAACAAACCTTACATGACATGTTTGAGTATTTTGGAGCAATGGGAAAGGATAAAGTCTGCAACTTTGGTGCGCGAATGTATCTATTCATCTACCTTATGAAATGGGGACGGTCACAGCTAGACGTTGAATTAAAGTATTACGTGTGCTTCCATCCGGCCTCTCACATGTTGTTCATCTCCTAGCTTACCACAAAAATGGTCACACGCGGCACATATTCGCAGTGGCACCTGTTGAGGCGAGAGTTGTGATGGCTAAAAGGTTATGGCCAACACAATCCACTGGCGTTAGCAAGAGAAACCGCTAGGTTTGGCTGGTACTTCGAAGCTAATTGTTGTGGGCGGTGTTGGTCAATTATCGTCACGAACATTATTCACATTCACAGGCCAACTACACGCATTGCAAGGAGTCAGTCAGGGCTGATGGTACGTATGATCCGCTGCTTGAACAATACTCTTTCATTGAGCTCAGCGCTTTTTTTACGCTGTAGATTTCCTCATCGTTTTCCTTCCAACTGCAACATTTGGCAGCAAATCGCACCTGGGTATCCATGCAACATCTTCCTCTCGACTATTGGTAATATCCCGAATATACCTTCACATGAAGAAAATGAGCTAACACGTTGGGCTTAGCCGTCTTCCGTTGATGAAAAATGCCAGAATCTCATGCTCTCCGCTGGTGCTGCCTCGGTGGGCCAATCAGCTATATTGGAACTCACTCCGAATCTTTGGATTGTGATCCATTAACTGAAGGATCAAAACGATAAATGTCAGATACGTTCGACGAACCCCTCAGGTGTAAAGACGACCTCCCTCTTTTGTGACCTCCTAGCAAAGTGATAGGCTGATTACAACTTGCAGAAGGTTCGGGACCCAGAGGAGTGCTATCTCGCACCAGATCTCTGACAGACAAGGAATTCCAGCTAGTTTGTCGGCCCGCCTCACGCTGCTGAGACATTTCCTATATTCCCCCTCGCAGAGTTGCTTGACCGGCCACCGGGCTGCCAATCTCACCTGGAGCGCCGACGGGTCGATAAAATCCATCATTTAGATCGGGTTCCCATCGGACGGCGTGGCTAAAACCTCCACCATTCTGTCGGATAACTAGCGTACCGCCTCCGTTGTTGGGGTTTCCTTCGGTATCGCAAAGGTTGATGAGAATAGCTTCTGAGATACTGTCGCCTGATAGTGCCTCAATTCTTGACTTCAGGATTGAGAGGTCAATGTAACCTTCTTGGTCACCCGAGCCAGCGAGTTCCTGGCATGCCTGGCAGAGCATTGCGCGAAGTTGGGGGAAGCTAGGGTGTGATGCGGTTCGGAGAGAGTTGATTGCAGGAACAGGAGACATGCCAAAACCAGGAGGTGCACTTGGTGCGCCCCAGACAGGATTGTTGAGCCCAGGAGGAGGCAAAGGATGTCCACCGACACCAGGAGGGCCCCACGGATTCGGTGCCAGCGGAAACGCTGAAGCCAAGAAGGGGCTCGTGGTATAATCGGGCCTCGGCCCAGGTGGTTGGTTTCGCACCCCCATAATTCCTTCGACTTCGAGCGGCTCGTCATCTTCCAACAGAGCCCGGCTACCCAGATGTGCAGTTTCATCTTCCTTGTCGTCAGATGAGCGGCCAAGATTTATGCTTCCAGGACGCCCAATAGGAGCAGGTCGACCAATGGGTTGTGCTGGGGTTGGTGGCGCGTCAAATTGGAATGAACTTTGGCGATGATGCGTTGATGGGGGCATGTCCGTCGGTATCGGGAATCCATTCATGTCAAATTGATCGACTCCCGGCTGTGAGAACCCTGGTGGTATCGGCAAGGGAAATCCACGTCCAGCTGGCCCATTCATGCCAGGAGGAGGCATCATTGCACCAGGGCCGTGTCTAAACGCTGAAAAGCCATCCTGTGACATACGATTGGGGAAACCTGGTGGTGCGGGGTGGTGATGCAATCCTGGGGGCGGATGCATTCCCATAGGAGGTATCTGGAAAGGAGATTGTCCTGGTAGTCTCGGTTGTCCATTTGTTGGGGATACCGAGTGAGAATGCTGAGTGCTTGCGCTTCCGTGGCGCTGGCCAATTAGACCAGGGCTCATTATGGGTGTCATGGAATGAGGTGAAGGGTCTTGACTAGTAGACGAAGCTGTAGCGGATTGCGCTCCACTGTCTTGCTGCGAGAGGGTCCGAGGTCTTATGGGAGTCGGTGCTTTAGACATTACAGGAGTGGCGACCGGAATCTTTGGCGAGGCGTAGCTTGCAGGATTCGAAGGTTGTTGTGGAAGAGCTGCCGGAATCGGTACGGGATGCTGGGAACCACGCTTCGGGATTTGGATTGGTTGTGATGATTGACTTGCCGCCTTCTGGGCAGCTGCCTTCTCCTCCTTCAACTTCTCCTTAGCTTCTCGGGCTGCTTGGGCATCTTTCTGTGCCTTTGCAGCACGTGCTTCCTTGTCCCGCTTGTCGCGCTCTTGCTTGTCCTTCCGCTCCTGCGCCTCGCGCTCTTTTTCCTCCTTTTCTTTCTGTCGCTGTTCTTCCCTAAGCTTCTTCTCCTTTTCCTTGGCTTCGCGGGCCTTGCGGTCTTGTTCGGATCGCTCCTGAGCTCGGCGTTGTCTCTCTGCCTCCTTGCGTAGGCGAGCTTCTTCGTCGGCCTTCTTCTGCGCCTCCTTTAGCTTTCGTTTCTCTTCGGCCCTGGCTTTTTGTTCAGCGACCCGTTGCTTCTCAGCTTCTAGACGAGCAGCGTCTGCAGCAGCCTTCTCTGCCTCTTTACGCGCTTTCTCCTCGGCCAGTGCTTGCTTCTTCTGTGCAGCCCTGTCCTTCTTCTTCTGCGCATCTTTGGCCTTCTTAGCTTTCCTCAATTCGGATTCTCGATCTTCGGCCTCGAGCTCTTCTAGCAGCCTCTGCTGACGCTCCTTGGCGACTTTCTCCTTATACGCCGAGAGAACCCTTTGTTCAAACATTCGGGCGGCGAATATCTGGAACATGCGTCGGCCTTCCTCCATTCGTTGCTCCTCCGTCATTTGGTCCTGGCAGCAACACTCAGTATGGGACTGGGATGGTATCACAGAGGGGTTTGAGTATACCTCTTCCTCCTCATACTCCTCATCCTGACTATCATCAAAGTCATCTTCCTCGTCCTCTTCTTCGTCGTATTCGTCTTCTTCAGGAGGAGGATGATTATGTGGATTGGAGTATGAGCCATTAGGGTGACCGTAGCCCCTTGAGAAGTGTTCGCGGGCGTCTTCTTCCCGGGCCATCCTACGTTCGGCAAGCTGTTCCATCATTTCGATAAACCGCTTGCCGTCGTTTTTCAGGAGGTCATCCGCCACGGTGAGAATACCACCTAAGTCCATGTTACCATATCTGCGGAGAAGTGAATCAAGAAGCTGCGTACCCTTGACTTGGAGGCTGTTGCCAAACGTCAAGAAATCGGCGACGTCCCGTTCATGTGAGTTTTGATATTCTTCGGGAGGTTCGTCGTCGCTGTAGTCATCGTCCTCCACTTCGTCTTCACTGTAAACCTCCTCCAGCTCGTCCTCATCTTCGTCGTCTCCCACATGTTCGACTATTCGACCGCGCGATGGCGGGCGGCCGGTATAACTTGATGGCAGACCCCGGGGCGGTCTTAGAGCGAAATCTCGAGCTGATGGTAGCATTGGTGGTCCCTCGCCTTGGTTTGCGAATTGTTCAAGTTCCAGATAATAGGCATCGTAGAGGCCTTCCAGTTCTTCCTCAATTGCATTTCGCTTCCGTCCGCATACAGTGCAGCTGCATGTATGCTTCTGTTGCTCCTTCATCTTCTTCAGAACGGCATCCTTCTCGACTTTGACCAAGGATTTCCGCTCATCTTCACCCAATCCAAGCCAGAACGCTTTTATACGTTCGCGCTCCTCTTGATTGCTAGTGCTCCATATCTTATCGCGTGACATTCCAGGGCCTTGCGACGAGTGCGATTGGGGCTCAGATTCAACAGTTTCGGGTACAGGTGATGTAGGATCGGCATTCCCTCCCTTCTTCTTTTTCTTCTTGTTCTTCTTCGATTTTGAATCCGAAGGGAGGTGTCCATTTGTAGTTGGGCCTGTTAATTCGCTCGCCAGGACATACTCATGCTCGTCGTCGCTTTCAACCTCTTCATGATCGGCGGGACCACGGCCTGAGGTAGACCCAGTGCGTGCACCACCACTCGCGACATTGTCGGTATGTCCATTCGCAGCCTGTTGTGCGGCTTTTAGAGCAGCCTTCTGTCTACGCTTCTGCTTCTTGCGGTTGACTGTTGGAGCAGGGTCATTGTCGGGGTTGGAAGCCTCTAGTGGGGGGGCACTGGCTTTAGCAGTTGTGGGGGTCGGAGGCAAAGAAGACTCAGAGGTAGCGCCCTTAGGTACGGTGATAAACTTGGAGCCATCCTTGTTGGTGTATTTTGCCGTATTTCGTGGTGATACCGGAGTTTGGGCGGCCGGTCGTTGGTTGTTGGCCGGCATGATAGGTTACGGGAGCTGAGCAGTCGAGGGCATGAAGATGCTGTGCGCGACACGTGTCTGTCGATGGGAGGACGGTGTATGAGGAATATGGTTCTGTAATACGCGAGAGCGTGTCAGCTTGGAAGCGGAGGGTATCGCGCGTGTCAAGACGGTGAAGTCGTGGTCGTTAGGCGGCTGCGGGCACGTTGCAAGTGGAGGGTCTCTGGGGGCGGCTCAAAATGAGGCACTCACAGTCGGAGAGCGAGCGGCCAAGGTCAGGGTTAGGTCAGCGATGACGCCTGCGGGGAAGGGGCCCAATTGATTGATTGTTATTGCTGCTGTAATAAAATCGTAAGCGCAGTCGGAGGGTTTTATAGATACTTCGGATTGAAGATAAAAGAGTGCGGAAATGTCGTAGCGTTCTTTGTCTGGTGTTGTTTGATGCTTCGAGGCTCAAGGCTCAAACATAGATGGATGGGACGGTAGAAGTCACTCTTTGGTGGAGTTGCATAGCACCTGTACTTTCTCATGCAGCCGAACCTGCCCAGCGACACTGTGATGTGGTCAGGCACGCATCTGATTGACGGGATGTGCCCCGCTATTCCCCTAGCCTGGTGTAGCCTGGTGTGATCTCGCACGTGATGTTGAGATCTGGCGATTTGGTTTGTTTGTGCCTTGCTGAGGGTGGGGTTACAAACAGCAACCTTGATGTCAACGTCACTCGTCTCGGGGCTACCCTGAACCTGGGGTTGAAGCAACAGAGACAATCAATTCTTTGTTTGGCAATCATTGAAGACCCAATTCGTGTATTTTTTATTTCTTTACTGAAGGCTGAGTCATTATTATTTCTTGTCTGTTGCTCAATTGTGCGTCAAAGGCTTCCAATATGCATAGCGAAGCAATCGTGAAGTGCATTACTGGTCTGACCATCATATTGACCTCGTGACTTAAAGTCCTCTAGGATCTGTTCTTTGCTTTTCTACCACTTCTAGATTCAAGAAGCAATCAATAATTCAATTTATGACAGGACTGTGACAGGACCAGTGCATGTTTGACAAACATATTACGGCTTGGTTATTAACGGTGGGAAAACATCCGTTCCGTCTTTGCGAGACGATCAATACTCTATACACACAATATTACCGGGGAGCAACCAAGGCAGATCACCGTCAGAAGTATCAGGCCCGAATTAAGATCTTCACATCTCATGCCGATGTGCAGAACAAATTTGGACACCAAACTCGTCATCCACAGGCACCACGATGGTTGCCGACGCTGTGCAACATTCAACTTGGCCAGCACAATCGCGCAAGAGCCACATAACCCTCATAGACTCGACTCTATCTCTCCTTTCAACAGCTGGATGAGACCATGTGGAACAAAACTACGACATACATCTCGGCGCGCAAACCCATGTGTGTGTGACAGAATGCCAAATTGAGACGATGCCGTGTTGCCCCTTGTCTATGCATGTTGCAAACGACGGAGGACAGCATCGAAGGGAGAGGACGACGCAACATGTTTCGGCTATTTGTCCATACATAGACCAAGGATTCCCAATTGCTGAAATCTGCCCGTACAAACGCCGCTTGGAGTAGCACTCACATTGAATCAGAGCTGATCGGAAGGGTAAACGGATGCGATCTCTGCCCACCAGACGAGGAGAATATGCAGGTAAGACTCAAGCAGCCATCACGACGCTGACAGCCATGCATGCATTATTGGGACGAAGGATCGTGGCATCACTTGCAAACACCACCGCAGCCTTGTAGGGCAGTGAGTTCATCGCCTACTGTGACATCGGCCACGAGGCATCGTTGTTGCATTGGATGTAAGCAGGCAAAGACAGTGAGACGGGTCAACTAGCTCATCGGGTATGGCCGTAGAGTATGCTGTCATCATTCGTGAAGGATCCACGCAGGTGAGAATTGAAGTTTTTCTGCACTAACGTCAGAGAAGAAAACGACATTGAAGGGACGTTTGCAGACATCTATACGAACGTCAGCAATGCGGACCGCCGGCGCAACTCACCAACACTGAGATCCTTCTCACGGAATCCATATTGCCATGCTATTAGCGTGAGGGAGCCAAGATGGAGCACATTAACGGGATCGTCCACAAAATGGTCGAGTTGATCTCATCCAATGCCCTCAAGCAGCATGGCATGAAGTCTTGAGACACGAGCTAGGGTTCAGTTGCTAGTTAGTTATTTCTATTTCTAGGGGACTTTTCCATCATCGCTGCACAACGGGCAATAAGCGTCAGTGCTAAAGCAGTAGTTCGTCCTGCCCCTTGGTTTCCAGGGCTCCAGGGCTCCAGGGCTGGTCTGGTTCCTGTTTTTAGCTTACCGGCTGGCGGGTGTGGGTTAGTCTGCACAGCCTCAAATGGCGGCGGCCATGCATTTTTGCATCCTGGCAATGAGATTGGCTGGCATGACGAGCATCTCAGAGCCCAAATGTTTAATCCTCCGAGTAAAGACAAGGGCACTTTTGATGTGGATCTGTTGATATGCTTGTCTAGATCTGAATTCTGTCGTTACTGTCGTATTGAAGGACACCTTGGCCCTGTCGCCCATGGAAGCTATCGATGCAGAAACAAAACACAAACAGCTAATTCGTTGAACGAGATATGAGCATTGAAGATGATAGAATGGTCCGTGAGTTTTGTTTGCCTTGGCGGAGTTGAGTTGAACTGAGTCTGAGTCCGAGAGGCTCCATGACGACGAAACTCTCCACCGACTTCTGTTTACCTAATTGAATCTCTAGTGAGGATTTATGACGGCTGCCGAAGCGGAACGGCACTGCAATTTTGTTCCCAAACCGACCCTTCCTTTAGTATTCAGATTCTTCCCATTGAGCTGGTACAGGGCGGAGAATGTCAGAATTAACCGAGCTGGCTTCAATCATATTACTTGTTTTGGATATACAGTTGTGGATGCTCCGCCACAGCACAGGGGGCTTTGCTTGCTTGCTGTTTGCTGCAAGTCGCATCAATAATGATCAACTCATGATGGGATGGGCTATGCTAATCAGATGCTGCTGATAAAAAAACCTCCAATTGAAGACCCTGAGTGACTTTTCCCAAAGCTACGTAGTCAGAATGTCAGAAGATGCCGTTGTAACGATCCATTCTCCGGCACATCTCGTGTACCTTAATCCATGTCGATCAACAACCACAGACTTGCCGTAGCATGCAACAAGAAGCAACTCATGCTGTCGAAGCCCACTTTGTTATAATCCGCGGTCCACTCAAGCTGCCCAGCTGTCACAGAACCTGCCCGTACTAGAGAACTTTCAGGGCTGTCGTCCTCCACTACTCCGTAGACCTCACCTCATCATCCTCAGCTAAAAAAGGTGCCCCCCGGACCTGGTTTCTACGTCCAAGGTCCACATGGTCTACCCGTTAAGGGAGCACCTCAGTACAGTGAGTACAGTGCAGCAGTGTAGGTAGGCAGTCAGTGAGTCTGTCGGGCTCTCCACCATCACCGATGCCACCACCGTCGCCGTCGTAAACAAGCCGGGCTGTTCCAACAATAGAAAAGAGGCTGCCTCTCTAGCTTTAGATCTGCCGCGTATAGTATAACTAAACGTTAGGTTCTTGGGGATATCTTTAATTGGTATCAGATTATCGATCTATTCATTCCTTAACATCTTGAATGACTCGTTTCATCTTTTCTTTCTACTCTGCACAATCTTCAGAACCTGATGCACATCAGCCCAGCCCAGTCCGCCTCAGCTCCATTTTAGACTGAGGCTAACTGACTAAAGAAACAGGTCGGTCTGACAAAAAAAGAACAGCACCACCTCACCACAGTCCTTGACTGTCCTATCATCTCGGTCAATCAATCATCAGTCCTGCCCGTTATTCTTGGTCTCGTATTCCCAACCCATTAAACATCATTCTTTCATCTTCTTTCTTGTTTCTCTACTATTCTATCTATCCATTTTTTGAAGAACTTGTTCATCCAACCATCGGCCTGGCACCCGCTCCGTCCTAGACATTTACTCTCACCATTAAAAACGCGCTGATCTCACTGCACAAAGCCAGGACTGCACTGCACTGCATTAGTACCCTGGCAGCTGAACCGTATACTAGCACAGTATTTACGTACCGCCTGCACCTGGCCCGGCTTGTCCTGTCCTGGCTGGTTCCATCTGGCCCTGTCCTCCTCGCTCCACGTCCGCGCGCTCATTCAGGTCCGGACGTCCCTTGTTACTTTACTCACCCATCCAACGATTCTCTTACCAAAAAGTCCGTTGGCCAAAAAAATAAGGGGTCCTATCCCAGATCTCGACGACATTTCTCTGACCGAACCGACCTTACTCTCCAATTAATCATCATCACCTTCATATCACCCAATCCAGCCCTATCCAATCCCTTTCGGCCTAGCTTAGCTTGTTCCTGTTGTTATCACCGCGACGACGCCCTCGTGAACGCTGTAGCTCGTTGCTCTTCCACCCATAATCAATCGACGGCAACGATTAACCGACGCATCACCCAGATCTGGGGCCCGTAGCAGACTCCAGATCCGATTCCCTCCTACGATTAGTCTCGAAACGTCATCATCACGCAGCCTCGAGGCCATATAACTCAGTCATCATGAGCGCAAATCCTAGCAACGTTATCCGCAGGTACGACTTCATCGCGCTCCCAAGCTCCGCTCCCCATCCGGCCCCAAAACGATGCTCCTCCCTGCCATACCAATCATGACATGCCCAGGATTTTTGAAGATCAATTAGATTGCTAACAACGTACCGTAGGAAGTTGGTCATTATCGGTGATGGTGCCTGCGGCAAGACCAGTCTGCTGAGCGTATTTACGCTAGGTTACTTTCCTACAGTGAGTCCTCCAATTCTACAAATCGTCATCAAAACTTACTAACCTGTTTGCAGCATTATGTGAGCCTCGACCGTAACCCCTTGCGACGACGATTATTGACTTCGTATTATATAGATCCCCACAGTCTTTGAGAACTATGTGACGGATTGTAGAGTGGACGGCAAGTCCGTCCAGCTTGCTCTATGGGATACCGCTGGCCAAGAAGACTACGAACGATTACGACCGCTTGCCTACTCAAAAGCCCATGTCATCTTGATAGGATTTTCCGTCGACACACCAGATTCCCTTGACAATGTTAAGCACAAGGTACGGCCCCCTCGGCATGCGGTATGCGCTTAGTGATGAACCCTGGAAAGCTGACGTGTTTCTCGTGCAGTGGATTGAGGAAGCCACCCGCCTGTGCACCGGCGTTCCCATTATCCTCGTTGGTCTTAAGAAGGATCTTCGAGAGGACCCCGTCGCGATCGAGGAAATGCGCAAGAAGTCGATGCGTTTTGTGTCTGAACATGATGGAGAGGCAATTGCTCGGGAAATTGGCGCGAAGCGATATCTTGAATGCTCCAGCTTGAGCGGCGAAGGCGTCGACGACGTATTTGAGGCTGCCACTCGTGCTGCTCTGCTGACCTTTGAGAAGGGCGAGGGCGGCGGTTGCTGCGTTGTGCTGTAAAACCGTCAGCCAGGCGCCTTCGAACGAACCACCATCCACACCACTTGGATGTACTCACGCACAACACCAGGGACACCATGCAGCTGTTCCTAGGTTTTATTTTTAAGCGATCGATCACCACTTCGCCTCGGCCGCAATATCAACATATGTTCAGACAACTGGAGACGAGTGTAGATTTTTGGATCATCAGGGAATCAATTTAGGATATAGAGGATTTATTGCTCGGCGCCCCAGGAGGACATCTTCCTTTCTTATACTCTACACTCGCTCACTCTCAAAACTCATCATCACGGAATTGATGCTAAAGGCAGCATCACATTCCGGCGTTTCGGCCGACCCGATCCTATTTACTATCTATTTATTCCACGGCCGATCTTCGCCCAAATGCCGGCATCCTCACTATCACGTTTCCTTTCAGGCGTTGTTATTCAGCAGACAATCAACATGTAAAGACTCGCTCATTGAGTCTTCTCGACACAAACAAGTGACTACCATCTAGCCATACGCACCCTCATTTTTATTACGATCGAAGTGTACTTTGGATCTGTTTCGAATACTGGCCATGTTCTCTTACCTGTCACTCGTAATATCTGAGCGGAGTTGCAGAAACATCTTTTATATACTTGGCATCCTGAGGAGACAAAAATCAGAGAGGAGCAAGGTGCATGGGCAGAAAGGAGGACACTTGCATGATTTGGTTCGAGCGGGTTAAGATATGCATATTCACTCTCTGTATTAATAATCGAATAGCGGCATAGAACTGGCTTTGTCGAGCGTTGGGAAGATGAGAGTGAATCAATGATATGGATTAAGATGACGGGAGATTGGCGCTGTCGTTCACGGACCTGATACTTAATGAGAGTGATGATCTTTGCATCTAATGTGGTTCATACATAATTAAGGTAGCGATCTTTCACGACGTCTTTGAAAGGATCGAGTGACCTCAAGTGGTATCTTGCCTTCCCTTGGATGGACTTCATTAAGAATCGTAAACATTGGCTTTCTAATTCCTGTCATCTGGAAGCTGCCTTATCATACATACAGTACACGTTCTATTAAAAACAATTTTTTCCCCCCGGTCGAAGCAGTAAACAAAGCTTTAATCGTTGTTCCTCTTCCACTCGTGGTTCCAAGCGTTCTTAGCTGGGTGGTCTGTTTGGTAACGAGCATACTCAATGGGAATTGCGTCAAGACCCCAAACACCCTTCTTTTCCATGGCAACACGGTACAGGTAGCCCTCGTCTCTGTTTCCTGGGCCAGCTGTTTTGCGCAGCTCTTCACAAGCATTGTACATGCCGCTGAAGATGCGGGAGCGTTCCTGCTCAGTTGCTAGATGCTGCTGTCGACGGAAGAGTTGCCAAGCGCGGTGGATGGTCCAGTGGCGGAGGTATCGAAGACGGGCCATTCGTAGAGGAGGGGGAGCGGGAGAGAACATGTTTTGGCGCAGCGTGCGGATGCGGTAGAAGTTTTCGGATTTAGGAGCTGCGTGCTTTCGGCGGGGAGGGACCTTGCCGGCATTGGGGTTCTTCGGCGCGGCCTTGGGAGGTGTGCGAGAAAGCATATTCGTTGTGGTAGAGAAGAGACGGGTCGTTTGCGACGTAGAAGCAGGCTGGCGGGTAAAAAGCCCGCGGAGAGAGAATATTGAAGACATCGTAAGGTTTAGCGATGCGAAGTAGGCGGGGGAAGTCTCAAGTTGTTGACCAAGTCATAAATATTCAGGACAATTGTATTGTAACAATGATACAATCGATTAAAATTGCAAAGGAATTCGCGGTAATGATCGTTCGGCGGTTCGATTCGTCTTAATTCTGTGTAGAGAAAGAGAAAGGCTCAACGGACTGTTGTGCCCCGACTTGTGTGCATTGACTGGCTTGTTCTCGGGCCTGGCGCAGGTTTTCCTGAATCAAATGATCGTATGGTTTGAGTGCGTCTCGGCAATCACACAACACGGGCAAGTTGTACTCAACACTTGGGTTGAATATGTCGTATTGGAAGGTTTGCTCATTGTAGAGTCTCCAGATGTTCTGCACGAGGAAATTGTTAGCTTGATTCGGTTCGGGTAAATATTTGACCGCGTCCAACTTCAACCCAGACTTAAAAGGCTTGTCATAAGACGTTGGTGCCTCGAGTCCCTGGAACCATTGCTTGGATTAAGGCTCAAATCGAATTTAAAATATGAGTAGTCCTGGAAGGTTGGAGACTTACCGATGAGGGCCCCTGATTTTCGTAGATAAAGAGTTCTCGACGATTCCCAGAATGGAAATGCTCCCACGCCATTGTTTCCAGCTGCTGGTTCCAAAGACCTGCAAGAGCTTGCAGTGACAAACCGGTGGAAGTTGTGAGAAGGTTCTCTAGATCTGGCGACTGAACATCTCCGTGGACTTCAGGCACATCTTTGAGTCGAAGTATAAGCCACGCAAGCTCTTGTGTCATTGCATGTTTGCAAATCCAGGCTTTGGTGGTTTGGTATGGAAATGTACCCCTTTGGGAAAGCCATCTCCAATCCTCTAGGATGATTCTGAAAGCATCGGAACATATCACCTCTCTCGAGCGTAGGGCTTCATGTCTCGGGAGGTCGGCTTGGTGAGACCTACCGAGATGGTGATGCATCAAGCCGATAAACAATTCCGAGGCTGGTTTCCAGAGGGCCATGAGGCGTAGCTTGTGCTCCGAGGAACTTCGAGGTACTTGGCCTTCATATGAGAAGTTCATAACGCTCGGCATGACATTCAGTCCTTCAGTGAAGGGCAAAGAGTTCGAGTATCGGAAAATAAAGGTTCCAGGGGAGTATCCGAGAAACCACCTCCCACATCGCATGAATGCATACTGAATGACTCGGAAGGTTTCAAAATGATCTCCCATCATGACCTGGACCTGCCTCGCTAGCTCCCTCGGGTAACTGTAGATGAGCATGCTCAGAACGTCCCTCGGATCAAAATATCGGCAGGTCTTATCGGCTTCCAGTATATACAAGAGCTTTGGCCAGGCTGTATCATGAAGCTGCTTGTGGTTCTCCATGATAGTGTTGCGAACCTCTTCCGGCAAGCTGGGGGCTGGTATCTCAGCTGTCTTAAGCAGATCATAGCATGCCTGGTAAAACCCTTGGTTGTCCACACTCTTAGCCACCATTACCTTGAGGTGAGCCTCGATAAAACTGTATCGTTGCTCTTCGGACTGTGGTGCATTCATGTGACGGATGAGGTAGCCGTGTGAGCGAAGAAACTCCCCAGGGTCAAGACGAGACTGGAGGCCCCGGCGGCACCTATCACAAGCCTTCCGATCCTGACCACATTGGGGACGACCACTTGCCGGGCGGCCACGGCCGGCCCTTCGAGTTCCTCGCTGCACTGGCATCTTGAGACAATAATACAAGTGTTGGTACAAGTTTGGTCTGCAAGAACATCTGGTTAGAATACCCAAAAAGATCGGTCTGAAGGGGACGAGGATGGGAAGATACATACGAGAAAGGAGAAATAGAAAGAGAAAGGCGGTGTATTAGGAAAATCAAAACAGTAAGGAAAGAAAAGAAAGAAAAGAGCAGGGTTCCTTTTCTATGCTTTATATATGCTAAAGCTAGACTCACTTTTGACTTTTTTGTTCGCGAATAAACTTCTGGATATTCACGAAACTTAAGTAGGTAGGTAAGTTCGGGTTGCCACCTTCAGAGAAACAAGAAGACTTCTGAGTCCAGACTTCCGTGCCGTGCAAGTCAGTGTAGGCTCGGTACCTTAAGGCTGTCCATCTAATCCCTTTAGCACCTTTCTTCACTGTCTAAGGTGATCTTGCCCCCTGAAGGCCACCACCATTGGTCCATTACTAAATCAAATGGTGATAAAATCAAAAACAGGATGGATTGACTCTTCAACTTGGTCATCAGAAGAAGTCACGTTTTGAAGCATTGCTGAGACTGGAACTCACTCGAGAAGCAGCTGTTGTTTAACAGAATATGGGCCTAAACCAAAGACGAAGGTAGATCCTCCAAAAGAACCCCTTGAAAACCAAAAGAGTCCCTTGGACGCTTTGGCAGTGGGCTCCTACCCAACGAACTTAGAAGCAATAGAGATTACTGGACATATATGGCAAAATTGAACGCAGAAAGGTCTGTGGTAGCGTATATGAAAAAACGGAATTGGAAGTATATCGTTGCCTAGAACCTTGACTTAAAAATCACTATAGGAGTCGGTAGGTAAGGACTTGATTTTTGTGATACCTCACTGCCCCTAAAGACGCCTATTTGACAAAGAAAAAGTTCGAGATAGGACTGAAATGAAATAACATGATAGATGTACATTTGTCTCTTTTGTGGTGGTAGTATTGATAGACGCTGCAAGAAAAGGGGTACCGATGACCTTCGACATCGTGAACCTGGAGCCTAAGCCACCCAATAAGAAAGTGTAACGGATACAGTTTTTGCGCTAATTAACTAAGATATTGGATAGGCAAGTAGCTTTCGTTTTTGAACGTAAATTCATGAGTGTCAAGTCATCTACTGGTCGTAACTCGATCAAGCTTTGATATCTTGCCCACAGATTCACTGACACTGCCGCCCGTCTCACCTGACTTTCACACGGACTGACAGTTCCAACTTATTCACGTATTGAATTAGTATAAGTTCTCCCACAAGCTTCTATTGTTTCCCTTTCACCACAAACAAACCTTTCCTCACACACCAACAAACTCATCACACACCTCCCTTCACCATCACCACATCCATCTTCACACGTATAAAAGTGCCTTACAAGGTATTTGGCAAACATATTTCACGGATACAAGCAGTCACTTAACCCAAAGAAACAGATAAACAAAATGGACAGCCGTTACGCCTCCAGCACCCACTCATCTTCGGATTCTGAGCCTGATAATGCCCCTCAGGCCAATGATTATCGGGTCCGACGCCGAGCCCAGGAACGTTTATGGGTACCTGGCGCTTCCGAAAATAGGTCCAGACTAGCACCCCAGGACCTAGAGGATGTCCCGCTTGAGGATGACAACTCTGACCAGGGAGAGCCTGAGGAAGGGTACGAGATCCTCGACGGGGCGCTTGTTCGGGGGGCGATGCACCGAGATCGCTCCATGAACGAACTCGCCCCTGACGAGGACTCCGATGACGATGAGCCCTCCTCTGAGGAGCTCCAGTTCGACGACGCTGGAGCGGTTGGGTACTTTAACGCGATGCTCAGCGAGACTGAAGAGGAGCATAGCCAGAGGTATGATTTGTAACATCTCTTTGCTCTTATCACTCGGAGCCATCTAAGTTTATGAACATGCAAAGCTAACTCATGATAGCACCTCTCAGCTTATCCAGAACCCTTCTGGCACAGACGTCCCTCAGGGGGTTCTTGCTGCAACCGCCCAGATTGCGCAGGACAACCTCGCCAGGTCATACGACAACCTCGCCGGCGGACTTACCTACACTGCCCAGCGTGCCCAAGATGCCATGGCGACCACTGCCCAGGTAGGGGGTCATCTAGCTGAAGGGGCCTGGCGTGCTGGCAACGGTGTCGCGATCTGGGCTCAAGAACGATGGCCCAACATGCCTCGTGTCATCAACCGTAGAGTGTTGGGTTCTCTGGTTGAGATTGTGATGGAGGGTGTTCAAGCCTTGCCACCTTCGGACTCTATCATCCGCCCACAAGGACGGCGATGAATTAGGGGGCCAAGGTAGGCCATGGCTTTCTGTCGCTACAAGTGACGGATTGGTTGCAGCTATTTGGCTCTGGAAGCCACTGGACGTGGGAATTATAGGAGAAAAGTCTTTTGCTGTTTTTGTGTCCTTCTTTTGCGGATGATACCATTATATTAGGGCAAACAGAGCATTCAGCATGGCGCTCGGAAAATGGAGCATGGAATTTGCAGGCGAAAAGTTAATCAGGATCCTTTGTTAATGAAGGGACAGGAGGAAGCATTTGGGATCACGCATCAAGAGCCGGCGTATACAGAACAAAATTGCTTTATTATGCAAAATACCATTGTACCATCAACCAAGTACAATAAACTCCAAGTCACATGCCGTAATCCTTTATCCATTTTGAACCATATCATCATTAGTGCTCGTGTGTCACGTTATTGAGATCCCTGAATTCACCGCGTAGGCTCTCGATCCCTTCCGCCTTGACCTCGTCGACAAGCTTGACCACCTCAGGGGCAATGACGTTCTCATCAAAGCCGAAGTATTTGTAGGCGTCCTTACCAGGTAGTGACTTGCCGAAGGTAGTCATTGAGTAGCCAGCATCGGCGTATCGCTCCCAGCCGTTGACGGCGTAGGCCTCAATCACAACTCGAGGGGCGTTGGAGCGGTATTGAAGGACTTGACGTTTGTACTCGAGGGGTTGGGAGTTGAAGAGACGCTGGCAAGGGAACGAGACCACACGAGCCTTGATGCCGAACTTCTCCTTGAGGACCTCGCGGGTTTTAACGGCGAAGACCATTTCCGCACCGACACCGATGAGTGTAACGTCGGCATCCTCCTCCTCGATGAAGACATAAGCACCCTTCTGAACACCTTCGCGGCTGGAGTGCTCAGGGTACTGCTCGAGGTTCTGACGGGAGAGCGAGATGATAGATGGGGTGTCCTTGGCCTCGAGGGCGGTGATGAAGGCACCGGCCGTCTCCTCGGTATCGCAAGGTCGGATGTAAAGGAGGTTGGGCATG